TGTGCCTCCCCCCCCCCCCCCCTCACACTTACCTGTCAGGGCCGCTTGTCACCGCCGCCGGTCCCGAAGCAATCCTTTTGGATTCCGCTAGACCTCTGAAGGTATGTTGTGGTATCTGGCACCAAATCATTTAGGCTACAGTAGCTCAACTAATGGATCAGACTACACAGGCCAGCCTTTGCTCCCCATGTGCATCAATGAGCCTTGGCCACTCATGACCTTGTCACCGGTTCACCAGTTTTCCTTCTTTGTACCACTTTTGGTCCTGACCCGGGACCCGGGAACATCCCACAAGAACTGCATTCTTGGTGTTGCTCTAACCCCATCATCTAGGCATCACAATTCAGTAGACATGTGCATTTGGATTTGGATGAACCTGCATGTCAACAAAATTCAGTTGATTTGGCAGTTCGTCCGTATCCGAAATAACGAATCTATTATATGCCTGAATATACATAAATTTGTTTTCAGAACGCTCGGCGGGCATAGTGGCCGCCAGCATGTTCTGTGCATGCCCGCTGCCATCTTGGAGGTGGAGCGCCTGATGTTACATGATGCCACAAGTACGCAGCGTTGGGTGACGTCATACACTAAATGAGTGGTGGCTATATCAGCCGCCAGTGCGTTCTGCGCATTTGCGCCGCCATCTTAGAGTATATCTTGGTATGTACCAAGATGGTAGTGCCCGAACATGTGGGTGCTGCCATCTTGGTGTATACCAAGATACACTCCAAGATGGCGGCCGATATGGCCACTGCTCACTCTGCAGTTTTATTGTGCAGTTTCGGATTCAGAGGCTCGTTGCCTCTGAATCCGAAACAGCATAAACATTTGTTTCCTTTGACGAATCAAATGAAAATTTTTTTATTTTTCAATTGTTTTGTCCTAAACTAATTTTTTTGCATGTCTACAATTCCGCCCTTTTCAAAGTTGCTCAAATCCTTACACTTGCCCATTTTGTTTGCTTCAAACACATTATGTTCAGGGATAAAATGTTCACTTGCTGCCTAATATATTCCACCCACTTCCAAGTTCCATTCTAAAGAGATAATCATTGTTTTCCCTTCACCTCTCAGTGGTCATAATGTTATGGCTGATCATTGTATGTGCTGCAGTACTTAACTATAAGTACATCTTCCCTTACAATTTTCTCTTAGTTCCCCTGGAAGGTCCCAAAACTTCCTGTTGATCCTGTCAGTGAAAGACACCTAATGCAGCTTCCTGTGATGGTGTGGGAACAATGCTGTACTGCTCCTGAATTCAGAGCAGAATTGTCACTCTCATGTAGGCTATGCCTGCTTGCATTACAGTGGGATAAAGGAATTGTGAAAGGGTTGTGGCTATCAGCATTGTCACTGCTGATTCACTAACCTATACCGTATCATTCAATACCTGGCCACACCTAGTCCTACAAACTAATTTCTGCACTGACAACACTGCCTCTTTTTCTGAAACCATTCTACTGTGAGCTGCAGTGTCTGGGAGGGGGAGTGGGTGAGACAGAAATAAAAGGGCTTGTCTCAGTCAGGGAAGGTAAAGGAAGTTTTTTAATGTTTACATTAAGAAGCTTGTGAATAACATAGTAAGTGTACTTGATACTTGTTTAGACTGTATCTGTACTTTAAAAAACAATAATTTCAGTGTCAGTTGATAAATAGACAGAGGTAAAAAGTTACCAAGCAAAGGGACCTATTTAAAGTGTAAACTCTAACAATGAACTTTGCTTATTCACTCTCTTTTGAAAATACCAACGTAAGTGTTATATCTGTCCAATATACCTGTTCTTCCTTAGGGATGAGGTTAGGTCAGACTACCATGGGTTTGCGGTGGATCCAGTGATTTTGAAATTTGCGATCTCTTCGAATTAAGGTGGAAATTCGTCAGACTTAATTATTTGTAGCCATAATGCACTGCCTCACCTTTAACTGTGGTCATTAGGGTTACAAAGGCCAGTAATTGTGGGACTAGTTATGTACCAGCGCCCTCACTATATAAGGGTAGGAAGAGTTACTTGCTATACTGTGCTACATTACAATTAGTGTGGATTGGAGTGTGATGGGCTATATATTCTTGCGACCCCTCCTCCCCATGTTCACAGTTCAGAGAGCCAACAGTCCTTTTAAGGACTACCTTTTTGTGTGTGTCAGCTGTTTGGCTGCTGAGCCCTTGTGGTCTTTTTTATGTTGTTGTTGTTGTTTCATTTATTTTTTAATTTCTTTTATTTCCCGTTTATCATTTTTTTTTTCCTGCTAGGGTATAAAAATTAGGTTGGGGCAGTGTTTCAGGTTTTTTTGGGGATATATTGTATATATTTTATTTTTTATTTTGCTAGGGCCTGATTATTAAATATTGGGAGCTGCAGCATACACTTGCTGCTGATACAAACAAAGCTGTCCTTTGTTTGCAGCAAATCACCGCTTCCTTTTGCGGTAAAGTAGTGTGCACCAAGGTACAACATTTTAATTCCCCCTATGAATAAACCAATGGAACACTCCCTGTCCTGCCCAATGGGTGTGCATCATTTACTTCATGTGGCAACTGTTTCCCTGCAGACTTCCCCCTTGCATGCGCAGAAATCAGCCACATGGAATAATGGCAAATCCAGGATCCATGTATATAGGTCAGCCATTATTTGCTATGGCTGGTCCCTGTGCATGCGCACGTTGCTGGAAGGTGGCCTGCAGGATCCATATGAAGTAAACATTTCACAGCCACTGGACAAGCTAGGCAGTCTGGAGAAGATTTTATCTGAGGTATGTTTATCTATATACAATTCTGATTATGGGGCAAAGAGGTATAGGCAAGAGTTTTTTTTAATGATTTCTGTTCCACTTTCATGTCTTTGTTTGGGATGAAGTAACTGTTCAGTGAAGATATTTGGACTGTTAGCATGTTCTGCTTGGCTTGGAGTGCAGCAGTTTTATGGAGGACAATGTAGAGTAGATCCTTTACAAAGGTGGATCAAATAGCTGGAAATTCTGACCAGAAAGGAACATTAGATGAAAGCCTCCTGAAGATGATTGGGCATACCCACCTTGATAAATCTAAGACCATTTGTATTCTAGAAAGTATTACCATCAAATTCTCAAGAGAGTAATACAAAATGAGTACAAATTGTGCACCATGAAGGTTTTTAAGAATTTATAGTAAGGCATCAATGTAGTTTCGAAGCTTTACAACAATTTGTCAATTTAGAAATTTATGACAGTTTTCTAAAACACATTTTATTAACAAACATCATATACATATTTCAAAATGTGTTATGCAGTCGCCATCTCAAACATACGGTACATACCTCAATGAGAAGAATTAAAATGCCTCCCAGGATCACAATTATTTCCCCAGATAAGCGAACATAATCATTCTGTGTTTTGTAGGAATCCTGAAAATTTGTAAAACAGTTCCATCAGTAATGTCTTATTTAATAACTCTACATTGCCATTTGTTTGTGCTTTTTGTTCCACTGTTAAAAAATAAGGGAAAGTCCAGCTTTTTAATCCTACGTGAGCTTAAAACAACTCCAAGCAAAAGTGTGTCCATTTAGAAAACAGAGGGAAACATGACTGCCATTGCCAGAATGTAACATTTACACAGCAAATTCAAAAACCTATGAACTTCACATGTAAGTGTTAGCTTATTGTAACCTGAATGTGGACTACTGGCCCTGCAATGGTTAACAGCTGAGAGAAAAGATTTGCTGGTGAAGGATTACTGGTTCTGTTATAATTTCCAGTTTAAAGTGGGTCTAGTAAGGGATAAAGGAGAGACAATGGGAGGGATAATATGTAAAAACTTCCAAGCAAGACAAGAGTAAATGGGGGTTACCTATTGAGACAGCAACAGGCAAAAAACTAAGATCTCCATCTTAAATAGACTGTTCATGCTCCCTCTTTGGCCCTTCTTCCTCCCACCCTCGCTCTGTTGGAGCCCTCAGTATGTTGCTCTAATGGAGGTAAGGCTTTAAATTATAGGGGAGCATGTTGTATCTATAGCCAAAACCATTGTTAGATGGTAGATAGAGATGGGAAATGCAACATATTGCAGTTGTCACCAGCACAGTTAAGGAAAAATATTTCCCTGCCGAGACCTGTTCCAGTGACAACTATTTAACAGAGGATTTCCCCTTTCTTTTAAAATTCTGATAGTGGTTCTAAATGTCCAATCCAAAATTAAGAGAGGAAGAAAGAGAAAAAAAAGAGTTTGACTAAAGATACACCCCTTCCCCTACAGAAGAACTGTCCAAATCTGTGTTTATTTTCCATAGTTGAGAATCCATCTGAGGGGGGAACACCATTGTTTGGCTCTGTAATGGCCACAGCAGTTGAGTGGAATTCCAGTTCATTTGACTAGTGTGACCAAGCTGTGCTCAGGAATGTTTCAGCGTACTGGCCCACTTGAAATATGTGGTCTAGGGTACAATTTAGTTGGACTTGAATGTTGGAGCAGATTACATCCATTTGTAAAGGTACAGATGACATAAGTGTGCTCAGTCCCATAAGTGGGTAGGGGGACAATTGTGTTCAGGTGTGGTATAAGGCAACTGTGCCTATTATAAGCACACTCTGAGGGTCCTCGCCATGTTACTACAAGAAAAAGTCTAAATAATTGGGTTAAACTGAATCCCTAGCTTGCTTTTATTAACATTGTTTTTTTGTTCAGATATAGAGCTGCTCATACACCCCCATGACAGTTTTCACCTGTAAGAGCACTATAAGTATGACCTAATCTATGAACTAATCAAGTGTATTCACACCCCTGTCATGTTCTTGCAGCATGAATGGACCCTTACATATATCGGCGGAGCAGGTCTTTGGACAGACTGCAAGCTTCTCTGTACAATTACAAAGTGTCAGGAAACTCTGGCTTCCCCCCTGGAGAGACCAGGGACAGTCTGAGCTTCTTTTCATTAACAAACAATGTTTATAGATCTTCAACCCTTTATTAGGACAGCCAGTGTTCAAATTTAGTTTACAGCTGATTATGAGATCTACCAACAGTACAGTCAGGGTTAATTGTGGTGACATGCCCAACCCCCTTGCATACCAGAGAAAAAATTTTCTCTAATTTTAGAGAAAACTAGTTATATGAGAAAACGCGTCATATACAGTATAAACAGCATTTTGTAATCATTTATGCGATGCGAATGTAAACATGTAACAAATAAAACAGGTGTTATTCCAATTTGGCTGGCAATTTTGGCTCTGAGTTAATTGTGCGGCTATAAATGCAGGGGTATTGATTCCTGCACTCCTTTGAACTGAAGAACACACTTGGATGAGTGGTGAAATGTCTTCAACATTTAAGAATAAGTCTATTTAAATGTAATTAACTATTACTGGCTTATTAGGTGTATCCTTGCAAACGCAACACTTGATTACTATAAATTCTAGCCATTGTTTTACTCCAGTTGTTTTTGCTACCGGTTGTTGAAATTGCTCCTTTTTTGTTGCTGTACAGAAGGTTGTCCATTTTGGGCTAGTAATAAATAATCTAACCACTTTATAATTTACTAGTGCCATTAATACATTTTATTCAATTAAATCTGCCCTTTGTGTATTTAGTTGGGTTCTTTGATGAGAATGGTGTAATCAGAGCCTGCACAAGCAATAAATTGCTGAACAATTTATGGTTTTGGAGATACAGTTTTAATCTGAGTGGTAATGCCTGGCAGCTTTTTATTAGCAGCAGGGTTATACAGTAAACCACAGATGTATGTGTATATTACTATATTGTGCTGTCTCAAGACATTCTGCAATGAGGATGAATTGCTGTAATGAAATGAATAGCACATTGAACACTTACATAAAATGGCCTTGTGATGATCTTTCTTTTTTCTCCATCTGCAGTTTCTTCCATTAGAGGCCGATACAAGCAGCATAAAGTCAAGATTATAGTGTACAAAATGTACAGGAAAGTGCAGAGCAGGAAGTATTTATATCCGAATGTAGACCATTTGTATTGTAGCAGTTCCTTTAAGGGCGTTATTGCTAAGAGATTTAACGCCTAAAGTTGTGAGAACAAACACAAAGTAACAGGTTAGTAGTCTGAGAGTGGTGAAACTTTGAGATGGCTCAATTAATGTGTTTGATGAGAACTTTACAAGTTGCCCTTAGACTTAGCCTGAAAACATTAATCTTCAAATCCTGAATTAAAGGAGAACTATGGGGTTAAGGCTTTACCCCATAGTTCTCCTTAGGGTAATGGGAGGACACAAACTAGCGTCCTCCCGTCATCCTAGGCTCAGTATACCGCGAGCTGCAGCTCACGGTATACTGAGACGCTGCAGTATACCGCGAGCTGCTGCTCGTGGTATACTAAGACGCCGCAGCTGAAGCGGATCCCGACAATTATGTCTGGATCCACTCAGCTGCGTGACTGACAGCTGGCTCTGCCTACCTAGAGGCAGAGCCAGCTGTACCTGCCCCCTCCCCCGTCCATTCCGCCAGTCAGCGCTGGCGGAGCGGGGAGGGGGTAATCCAGCCCCTCCCCTGCCACGGCAGAGAGCCGTGACAGGATCGAGAGGTGAGCGAACGCCGGTATGTGAGCCGACCTGTGACAGTCTCATTGCCACAGGTCGGCTAGAACTATGAGGTGAGTGAAAAGCGCTCACCTCATAGTTCTCCTTTAACCTTGTTGCAGAAAACAAGCATGTAAGGAAACATGTCATTTAAGGGATTAGAAGTCACTCTTCTGGCAGTTGTACTAAACAACAGGTTTGAATGGAAGAAATCGAATAATCTAAATGAAATACCTAGATGCAACATAATCTCTGCGACAGGTAGTAATATAAAACAATATACCCTACACTGCCTGATATTTTACTGCTTGATTGTATTTCCAGTGATAGTTGGACAGTACGTGTTGTCATATATGTTACAATTTGACTGTACAATCTTTGTGCAATCAACTTTACCAAAACTATGTAATATGAGCAACTACCTAATTTATCCAGTCAGATGGGCCTTTGCACTACAGAGTTGTTGGTGGATTGCATAAACAAGTTGTGATATGTGTGGTGAGCTTAAAGGAAATAATGCCAGAGTGATAACAAGCACACAGAAGAGCTTGTTAGTGATATGTGGAATTTACCAACATGTTGCCAATGAACAGCTTTTCCCTTGCTCCTTATAAGAAAGATCTATCTGTCTATGGGTATATTCTACCACCTTATAGGAAAGATGTTGCTGTCCAAGACCACCCTCTACCACCATATAGGAATAATCTATCAATGGCCACTTTTTACCACTCTGCTTGAAAGGATCTGCCTGTCTAAGGTCACCTTTCTACCATTTATAAAAAGATATTGCTGCCAATGGCCACCTTCTACCATCTTATAGGAAATATGTACCCATAGGTATGCACAGCCTATTGCAATAGGGTGTGCACACAAAAGTACAAACACACACTCTACACAGACCTAAGGCATCCCATCTGTTGAATTGTGCCTTACCTCTTCCAGTAAAGGTGCAGTAATGAAGCAGGGAGCCTGGCAGGTGGTCCTGTGACCACCAATCTGGCTTCCTGATTGAATGGGAAGCCTGGAAAGCCTCAGCCACGCTTGCTTGCAGCTTCCCAGGCGCCAAGGACTGGGGCTGTTCGGTGTAAGTGGCAAGTCCTGCTGCACTCTGTATAGCTGAGCCAGTCACAGAGAGATCTTTGTGATCTCTCCACCAGCTCAATGACTAAAAATATGGTGCCTGCTGTTGGGTATTCGGTGTTGCTCTCTGGGTGATTAGGGTGTACCCAGTAACCCTGTGTGCATGCCTATGTTTGTGCCTATGTTTGTACCTGTCTATGCCCGGCTTTTACTACATCATAGGAAAGATGTTGCTGGCTAAAGTGACCTTATACCACCTTATGAGAAAGGTGTGGCTGTCTAATGGCAATGTTTCCCACTATATAAAAAAGATTTGTCCATCTCAGACAACCTCCTATCACCTGGTAGGAAACATCTATCTGTCTAAAGCCACTTTCTACTACTTTATATTAAATATGTGCGTATCTATAGCCATCTTCTTGCGTTGTATAGGAAATATCTGCCTGTCTAAGGCAACCTCCTACCACCTTATAGGAAGTTTTTTTTTTTTACCAGTGGCGTCTAGCACTTGTCCCAGGAATTGAAATGAGGATTTAAAGGAGCCCACAGAACATTACTCATGGCAAGCAAATGTGACAGAATTTAAAATATTCCCAAAGATTATGCTGTTAGTTATGAATCTTTTATAAAAGACTGGAGATTAAAAATGTGCAGCAGTTGCATTTATTATTGTAAGCCCCATTGACCATTTTAAAGAAAGCATTAACTTGGTTAAGGATCCCTGGAGTCTTAATATTCATGACAACCAAGGGCAAATGCTCCAGAGATCTTGGAGTACAGGAAGGAGAGACTAAACATATGTGGTAGTGTTATATGGTACAGCTAATACATATAGCCCTATTTAAAGATAAGCAAGACAGTCAAAAATTCACCCAACCTCTGATTTGCCAAACTGAACCTAAAACTTTCTCCACCAACAAATACCCACTCTACAAATTGGTAAAACAGTAAAACAGTTGCAGGGGGATGCTGGCCGCATTATCAGTTCAGCAATCGGGGCTGTCAGTTATGCATGACTATGCTGTCCCAAAGTGTGCTCCTTTAAAAGGTAATTTACTGCTTGTTAAGTATATGTAAATAATCAAATGTCCATAGACTGGGCATAAACAGAAACAACAGCGCATTTGGTGTTCTCTCTAAAGAGTTCTCTGTAAAGGTAGATACAATTTGTACTTTCTTTTCTGAGGATGAAAAGATATAAAACAAAAAACTGTGATCTCTACTTGGGAACCCTGAAGAATTCTCTACTGTTCTCTGAATAGATTTAATAGCACTGTCTTTCTAGCATCAATGATACTTTTCTGAATGTACAAGCGTCTGCCAGTTAGAATATATAAAAGTACATAATGGAAATGCAACATAATTCTTTAGTGAGCATAGTGGTTCCTGCACTTTGATGCCAAGTAACAGAAACAGCTGATGCAGCCTATCAGTCAGCAATTTTCAAGAAGTACAAAAACCAAAAATGGAAGTGAAAGCTTTTAGGGAAGTATAGCAAAGAAGCCATCTTTCTCCAACCTTCCACACTGCAGCTAATGCTTGATTGCTCGATATTAGCCACCTTTCTCACCATTCTCTTTAGTCCACAAAAATTAAATGGCAGCCTGCTCCTGAGTGTCAAGGTTTTTGAATGGGGGTAATGCATTTCACCTCTGTCAACTGGATATTAAAAGAGGAAGGGAAGTTGTTATACATAAGATTTTGCCACGGAGCTCCTGTTGCTGAGAATTATGCCCAGCCTTAAGCCTCCATAAAACTAAAGTTGGCCATACAATGCTTGAATTTTGGCCTATTCCTCCTAACTCAGCCTAAATTTGAGCAGTGTGTGGTCCTGTCAGCACCACTGCATTCAACAAAGCCGAATCAAGTGAGGGCAATTGTCCTCTAAAGCAGTGTTTCCCAACCTTTTTTCAGTCATGGTACCCTTGAAAGTATGCAAAATCTTAAGGCAACCCAGTCCTCAGTCTAAAATGTAAAAAAAAAAAAAATTAAAAGTATGTGTTGTCCCTAAAAAATCCATACTGACCCCTTATCTGAAATAGGGGTCTGGTTTGAATTTTAAGGGGGGACCCCATACAAAAACACAAAAAAAGTTCCTCTTTATATGAGTGTTCCCCCTTGATATCACAAGCCCCCTTCACATCAGGACCCCCCCCTTTTCACATCTGTCACCCTCTCTTGCATTAGAAGCCCCCCTTCACATCAGAGTTCCCCCCTTCACATCATGAGTCACCCTTCACATTAGAAACCTTGACATCAGAAGGCCCCCCCTTGACATCAGGAGGCCTCTTTATATTAGAAGCAGGGGTGCGGAGTTCTTATCGCCCGACAGTGTAGCCCTGCGCTATGCATTTTGAATTTCGTTGACAAATTGCGTGTACTCGTTGGTCAGCATGGTCACCTGACCAATGAGAAGCACTTCATAGGATGGCTAAATACATTTTTGGATAAAACTATTTATTGTATCACAACAAGTAGATTGCCATGGGGGACAAATAGATTGGGTCTCAGCTTTAGTCCTTGGGCAAATAGTTTTTTTTTAAAGAAATGCACACTCCTGTAGAAGCCCCCCTTCACATCAGAAGCCTCCTTTTCACATCAAAGAATCCCTTTACATCAGAGCCTCCTTTTATATCAGAGTCCCCCCATTCACATCACAGTTCCTCCTTGACACAGGAGCCCCTTCACATCAGAGTCTTATCATCACATCATGAGCCCTGAGGCAGATCAGGTCTTGATGGACTTGAAATTAGTCCTTTCCTGAACGGATCCCACCCTCCCTGGATTAGTGTTTTTCGTTTCAATGGTGCTGGCAGCTAGCCCGTCTGCACCATGTAAAGGCATGACACCCTGTTAAATATCGAGGCACCCATGAGGAAGCCGGAAGGCACCCCGGGTACCACAACAATCTGGTTGAAAAAGGCTGCTCTAAAAGATCACAGACAGCAATAAAATGTCAGGGGTTATAACCCGCCCTTGTCCTATTCAAATCAAAATAAAATATGATTGCAGTTGGGCTTTAAAGTAAAGCTTACATTTACGTTAAAGCCCTTACCATTTATTCTGTTAAAATAGCTTTATAGTAAATATACACATCTCCATTTAATTTTCACAGCAGTAGCTATGGTAAATCATGTTTGAACAAGCATTCAATAACCCAGAACTATTTCTGCAACTAAATTTTTATATTTTAATTTGATATAAAACTTTCTAAACCAAGGCCATTACCTGGAAACTGTACATTGTCCATAATTAGACTGCAGTCACTTTCTCTGTAGCACTCCAGATGGCGTTAATTATCTTTTAAAATTTCAGAGCTTATTATTTTCGTCTCTTTTTTGCAATTACACAAAGAAAATCATATTGTGGTTTTGTTCAAGTATGGGGTACTTACGGAATTGTTGTTACAGGTACATATAATATCAATGACGGACAATTTGTCATTCCACGAGTCAATTCCTGTTAAATCATACAGTGTAGACTTTAGGGGGCCAAAAGTCCAGTATACATGTTTTTTCTTTTCCATGAAATAATTAAACATCTGTAAAGGACATAATTATTCATTACTACCGTAATATAATTTTAAGGAATGGGCAGTCTAGTTATTGGAAAAACCTTGTATTGTATGAAACATTTAAAATTACACATAAAAAGAACAAAAAGTCATTAGATTTCTATTAAGATTGACTGAGGGGGAGCGGAACAGAATGGAGAAATGGTTACACCTGGGGAAGCAATTAGTGAGAGTGAATGATTTAATTAATGCTATTTGTACAGAGCAAAATGAAAATGATCCTGCATATTACATTCATAAATTAAGCATTTTATTTCTATTGCCCCTTCAATTATTCCTCTGTCAGGAAAGCTAAAGGCTGCCAAAACAACCTTAAAGTTATAAGTGAAGTGCTCAAATCGAGCACATTTTGTAACAACAGGGTGACTACTGGTCTGTGTACAGTTTTCATATAGGGCGATAACAAGCACTTCTAACTGTTACACAAGCACCAAAACCAAAGTGCTTTAATGTATTGTAAGGGAGGCAGGTGCAACTGGCATTGGCAGCCATGCATGAGAAAAGATCATTCAGGAACAGTCCAGGCAGGTTTGTCCTGCACTTTTATTTGGCAAGGTAGTAAACAAACACCGGGGGTTATTCACAAAGCTGCCGAAGGCAGCCGAGTGAATAACCCAGACGAAATGAAGTGAGCTGACCAATGTTCGGCTAGTCATGCTCTGCATGTTCGGCTGAGCCGCAATGAAGAAGGACTTCGACTCAGGTGATCCAATGTCTGGATCGCCTGAGCCAAAGCTCCGGAAGCTCACTCGCTGCCGTTCGCCCCTATTTACATAGGGGCCGAACGTAAGTGAGTTAATAGCTGAATGCCGCCGAGTGGCTCGGCTATTCTGCTCGGTACCTCCGTGGTTACGTTACGGCCGGCTCCACCCAGTTGTTATTGTTTAATGACAAATCAGTGTCCCCAGGTAATTTGGGGATGCTGATCTGTCATTACAATTGGGCGGGGCCAGCCATGAGATAACGGCTGGTTCCGCCCAGCTGTCATTTGCGAGGTGAAAGGCAGGCCTTCGGCAGGGTATTCGCCCCGTTTCGGCTGACACTTCAGCTCAGTCGAGCTGAAGCAAATGCATTCAGCTTGGCTAACCTGCTCGGCTGCCTTCAGCTGCTGTACAGGCTATTGTGAATGGGAGGGAAAGGGTTAAACCTAAAGTGTCCATGTTTGACAACAGCATACATTATTATACCCAATTATCTTCCGTTACAGTATATGCCTATTCGTTTTGAAAGTGATTTGTAACCCTTAACTTAGGATCCACAAGTGGCTTTCGGCTTTTACTTTCTTCAACTTCCAAACTGTTGCTCATTACACATACAGTATGTCTAAAACAATTTAAAGCACTATATCTTAGCTAACAAATGTCATGTGTAGCGCCCCGCTGACCCCCAGAGGCCTGAGGTGACCCCCCAAAGGGTAGAGAGGGCTGCCATATCACTCTTAGGGGCAGATACTTAGCCAGTGAAGGGACATCTGATCAAGAAAATTGGGAGCCAGTTACTTTAAGTGTCTTTTCAAATGCTGTATTGCAGAACTTCAACTGGGAGAGAGGGTACAGGGCATCCATTGCAAAAATAGGACAGACTTCAGACTCGCCAATCAATAGGAGAACAGGCTGACACTGGGCAAAAGAGCAACAGCTAGACAGGGATAGGCATGAGATCTTCTACAAAAGAGGCACCAGACTTGCTCTGCTCCTGAGGTCCAAACCAGTACCAGGCACCCCCAGTAGCCATCCAGCTTCTCTGGTTCTCTTCCTCAATCAGTTCCTGACCCCTCCAGGATCCACATGTGTAGCCAGCTCCAGGCTGGAGGCCTAGGCAGCATTTCCATCTCTGAGCATCCCACCCCAGGCTAAGACAGGGGGCAGGCTGGGACTAAGAACATGGTAATCCCCTGAGTAAATACAGCTTGTACTCCCCCAGCATGCATCACCCCCCCC